TTTCTTAAAAAAAAACCCAAACGGGGTTTTTTTGGTATGCACCTTGAAATGTATAGTGGAAATGAATAAAAAAGAAATACTTTTTTGTACATACATTACATTGAAATATGTAAAACTTGTTATAGAGGACCTTAAACTTCAAATTGTTAAGGATTATCAAAGTGAATTTGCTGTATAGTTCACAGTTTCAAACAAAAATTTTTGTTTCAGTAGAAAAAATTTGAAGTAATTGGCATATGTTTACAGTTTACAGCTTTCATAAATCAAGCCAGCATTTTTAGCATGTCAAAAATTCCCAATGAATTAGTATTAAATGTAAACAAAAACTACAGAATTATCTGCTTTTGAGTTCTCTCCCCAAAGAAAACTAGTCCAGATCATCCAGGAAAATAAAACTTGAAAATTATTAATATAAAAGAGAGGCCAGTCTGGCTTAGTAAAAGTCTGAATGCTAGAATTTTGAAAGAAGATGGATTTATTTGAAAGAACAAACTATGTTTATATCTTTATTAATAAGTAAAATAAGTTAATGAAAATTTGTAATAAACCTATGCTACTTAAAGTACCATAAATATACTTATTTCATGTGTACGAGTTAATTTTGTAAGTCCTTAATTCTTTTCCTTGGTTTGGAGAAATGATGTTTTTAAACTGAGTTTGCTTTCTAGTGAGATCTTGAAAAACAGCAACTGAACACAATTTTTTCTCAAACCAAGTTGCCATTTCAGGATTATAAATTTTGAGCTGATTGGCCCTAATACATTTTTACTAGTTCAGTTTTTCTATTATTGTAGGAAAGTATTTTTCTGCTTTAGAAAACAGTCCAGTTGACTTTTGATGTGTTTTGAGGACATATCCTGAGAAATTTAAGAAATAAAGTGTTTGAAGTTTAAAAATGCACATATCTTGATTTGGTGTAATTTGAAAAGGCTTTAAAAAAGTGAAATATTCAAACTTGAATGGTAAATTCTGACTGATTTAATCCCTTGCTAACTGAGGATATTGATTCTGAGAGAATTACTTACATTTTCTTCATCTGAGTGATGGAATTATTTTTTTTTACAAAAAACAAAAACTTCTGCTTTTAACTCGTTTTTAAAATGTCTTGAACATTGTTTTGATGTAACTATGAATTGAGCAATATCATATGTAGGAGAAATGGTTAATTTTTTATTTCATGACATTTTGGTCACTTGTTTTAATACAGGAAAGCAAGGTTATGAATAAAGTATAGGACAATGTTTTTTCACTTATATTTGAGTATAGATGTGACCAGTCAGAAAATTCACTTCAAATAACAATCCTGAGGCTTCATGGTGAACATCTGACTTCAAGTGAACTTGGGAAGCTGTCCAGTTTCCACATCTCAAGTCTTGCTTAGTTGCTTGATGTAACTCACTTCATGCTGAGTTTAGAAAGCTCTCACAGTTTCCTCTGCACCAGGTTAAACAGAATTATCCTTTCAAAGAGCTTCCCTGCTGAGATGCAGAGTAGGAGTAAATAGAAGAATGTGAGATGTCCACCAAGCAAGTAATTAAACAGAGTAGGCCAGACTGACTATAGAGGGAGCTGCTTGTCTTTAAGATTACTGTAAGAAACTCTGCCATGCTCCCCTCTTAGTCTTCCTTCAGCTCAGTGAATGTTTTGGTAGACTGTTACAGATGCTGTTTGTTACACATGAAATCAAGTCTTTCAACATAAGAAATTCATAATTCTGAAATGCTATATAAGTATATCTGGATCCTTATTCAAATTATATAAATACATATGCGTATTCTTTATATTATAAAGTTAACTATAAGAAACTACCAGAATAACCTCACTTTTTTTTTGTAAATTGGTGTATTATTAAATAAATTTGAAATGAATAAAATTGTAAAAACCATAGCATTTATCAACAACTCAGTTTACAAAAATTTCTCTAATAAAAGTCCAGTTCATAACCTGTTTTTTTAGTAAACCGTTTAAAAATACTTTAAGATCACATAACACCTATTTGATTGTAATTATTAGAGATTTTTCAGGAGCACCTCAGAGATTTATTGACTCATCACAGACAAAATTGGTCACTTTATTTAGAAGGTATTTGAAGCCTGGAGTAGCAAATTTTATTAGCTTTTTGTATTATATTTGATTAAAATCATAATCAATAAATTAGAGGCTTAAGTAGGAGCCCTCTTAAATCTGCGGGCACAGTGGAATCTGGTAAGATGTGATTCAGTTCATTCATCCAACACTTAATGAGAACTACTATGTATGTCAAGTTATTTTTTAAATTTCTTCTTTATGAACAACTTTACCTTCCAGAAGCTTACGGTATAGTGGAGATGATAGGCATATAAACATAAGTAAACCAGAGTATGATTAGACTATAGAAATGTGTATAAGATATAGCGAGGACATAGAAGAGGACACGTTCAATGACAAGGCAAAAAGGGGAGTCAGGGAAGGCTTCATGAAGGAAGTATGGATTAAGTCATTTTAAAGGAATTTTTAAAGAACTTGAAAATTCTGATAGAGGAACAGATACAAGGTAATGACAAATGATGAAAACTGCTCTCTGCAGGGCAGCTTGGCAATGTATATCAGAGTCCTTGTAATGTTCTTTTTTGACCCAGTAATTCTAGTTTTAGGGATTTTAATCTATGAATGTAAATCTTTTGGTAAATCTAATTATCTTTTGAATCCATCAACTTCTTTTCATAATCCATTACCACCCTAGTCTAAGCTACTAGCATTTTTGGACAGATTACTACACTAGCCTCCTAATCTTGGTTTATACCAGTCCATTCTGTCCCCTTCGAATCTGTTTTCCACATAGTAATCAGAGGGATCTTTTCAAAATGCAAACCTGATTACATTACCCTACTACTTGATATGCTTCAGTAGTTTTCTGTTGCATTTAGAATACGGACAAAACTCCATATCTTATGTGGTGGCATCTACCTGTCTTATAAGGTCTTGGCATAGTCTAGTCCCTACCTTTCTGTCCAATCATGGCTTGAGCCATATTCTTCTTGCCTTGTTCTTTGTGTTCCAGCCATATTGGCCTTATTTTCAGTCCCTTATTCTTGCCATGCTCCCTCCCACAATGAGGGCTTTGTACCTGCTGTTCCCTCTGCCTAGAATGTTTTTCCTTTTCTATCACCTAAATTCCAATTTATCTTTCCTTTAGGGAAGCCTTCCCTATCATAGACTCTCAAAGCATCATGAACTCTCCTTCATAGCACTTGATATAGTTGTAATTTTATGTATGTTGGAAATTAATGTCTGTTTTTTCCCAATAGATTGTAACCTTCAGAAATGCTGGTAATATGTTCCTTTTTGCTCACCATTATAAAGTTAATGCTTACCACAGTTTTTGAAACTCAAGCATTTGTTGTCAGAATTAATCAGTAGATAATAGTCATTACAGAGAACAACCCCAAATGTCCAACAGTTGGGAAATGGTTTCATAAATTGGGCTTATTCATATAGTGGGATATTATGTGTTTAAAATCATGTTTTAGAGTAATATATACCATAGAAAATGCTGTTAGTGTATTATGTGAAAAAAATCAATATAGAAAATAGTCACTTATTAAAAATGCCAAAAATATATCTGGAGGCTTTGTTGGAATTTATATAAAAAAAAAAAAAAGAAAAAGGAAAAAAAAACACATAAAAATGCCAAAAAGATACACCAAAGTAAAAGAGGAAAAAAGGTTGATTATCTTTGGAAGATATGTTTTTTATTTTTAGATATTCTACAGAGAACTATAAAAGTATTGCTTTGATAATTTGAAAAAAAACTGTCCATGTATAAATTAAGAAAAAACTGGTTTTCTAGATATGGTTCAGAAATATAGTAAAAAAGACATGAAATTTATAATGGTCTCCAAAATAAATGTCAACCAAAATGCATGATTGCATGATGATAGTATTGAACTTGATTATATAAATTCCATTTGGGAACTGCAAGGAGATTCTTATATTAAAGCAAGCCAGTAATTTCTGGTTTTGTTATACCCATTTATATGTAAAGTGATTTTAATTTTAAAATGTTTTGAAAAGTAGCATGGTTTTGGCACATAAAGCATTAAAACAGAGTAAAGGCCAAAAATTAACTCAAATATGTATGAGAACTTAATATAGGTTGAGCATTCCTCATGTAAAAATTCAAAATCTGAAGTGCTCCAGAATCCAAAACTTTTTGAGTACTGACATGACACTGCAAGTGAAAATTTCACACCTGATGACCTCAGTGTGATGGGTTTCAGTCAAAACTCTGAAAACATTGTTTCATGCACAAAATTATTAAACATTGTGTAAAATTACCTTCATGCTATGTGTATAAGGTATATATGAAACATAAATTAATTTTGTGTTTAGACTTGGGTCTCATCCCCAAGATATCTCATTGTGTATATACAAATATTCCAGAATCCAAAAAAAATCTGAAACATTTGTGGTCCCTAGAGTTTTGGATGAGGTATATTCAACCTGTCTGTGAAGGTGGTGGCCACCTTCACCTATCAGTAGGGAAAATAAGAATTATTTGATAAACAGTATTGGAATAGCCAGTTAGTTTATCTGGAAAACTAAACAGTTGGCTTCCAGAGGAGTCAAAGATTTAAATGTAAAACAAAAAACGTAGTATAATTATTTTTAATATAATCCAGGAATGGTGAAGTCCTTTCACATTATGAAATAGAACTGAAGCTAGATTACTGAATTTTATGATATAAAAGGAAAATTTTGCACTCTGGGAGGCCAGTGCAGGCGGATTGTTTGAGCTCAGGAGTTCAAGACCAGCCTGAGCTAGAGCGAGACCCTGTCTCTACTAAACATAGAAAGAAATTAATTGGCCAACTAAAAATATATAGAAAAAATTAGCTGGGTATGGTGGTGCATGCCTGTAGCCCCAGCTACTTGGGAGGCTGAGGCAAAAGGATTGCTTGAGCCCAGGAGTTTGAGGTTGCTGTGAGTTAGGCTGATGCCAGGTACTCTAGCCTGGGCAACTTTGTCTCAAAAAAAAAAAAGAAAATTCTGTATGGGGTAAAACCCACAAAATTAAAAGAAAAACAGACTACTAAAACTTATTTGTATACTTCACAAAGGACTAATTTTTTCTTAATATGCAAAGAGCTCCTAGAAAATAATCCAATAGCAAATGAGCAAAGAGAATTCATATGAAAAGATGTACAGTTTTATTTATAATAAAGATGTAAATTAAAGCTACAGCATACTGTTTATCACCTATCAAATTAGCAAAGATTGGTTACATAGTATAATTTAGGGAGAGTGAGAAGAAGGGGAAATGGGCAATCTCCTACATTGCTGGTGGGAATATAAAGTGTTCATGTTCTGTGGAAAGCAATTTGGAAGTCATTTTCAAAATTATAAATGCACATATATTTTGCTCTAGCAATTCCATTCTAGGATTTTATTCTCTAGATTTTTGTATATGTGTCAAAAATATGTGGAGTGTATTTGCAGCAGCATTATTTGTCATTGCAAAAGATTGGAAACAGTGTAAACATACATCAGTTAAGTAAATTATGGTATGTCTATCAATGGAATACTAGACAGCCCTTAAAAATAATGAGGCAATACTATGAGTACTGCTATGGTGCCATTTCTAAGATATGAGAGAACCACCTCAAGATGTAAGACTCCAAGTGTAGTATGCTCCCATTTGTGTGGTTTAAATATGTATATATAGGTGGTTATAGAATGTAATGTGTATGTACAGTTATGTCTAAAAGGATACACGAGAGTTTGGTGACAGTGATTGCCTCCAATGAGTAGAACTGGTGACATACAAGACAAAAGTGGATTAACTTTTGGGGGGATATACTGTTTGGTAATTTAAAAATTTTTTTTTGCCATGTGCATGTAATATTCAGAGTTAATATTTTTTAAGTAATGTTTACAGGAATTGGTAAAGAAGAAAAAATTAAAAGGCCATAATAATTGTAAACAGATATTTACTGCAATATGTGTTTAATTTTAGGTTTTATTAGAGGTCTTCTAATTCATAGCTTTCAGTTGATGTTACATGGCTCACTGGAGAGTAGCCATGTAACCACAGTAGTGGAATGGGGGCCGAAGAAAGGCTTTGGGGTTCTTGTAAACAGCAGGATGAGTGACAACCAGCAGTTACTGCTCCTTTTGATACTTTAAGTGCTTTAAAGGAGGTGCTTTACTACTTAGAGTCTACTTCAGCAACTAATCACAGTGTCCAGCTGCCTCTTGTGGAAAAGGGATCATGGAGCTGCTATTGGAGTTTGTATTCAGGGTGCCACCCAGGGCAGCGTGCAGCCTACTGATGACGAGAGGACAGGGAAACAGGGAGGGTGTCCCTAGGGGGGCCCCACTCCAGGCTTGAATCTCTTGTGTACACCTGTATTGAATCTTGCTTGCCAAGTGTGTTTGATGTGCCATTTTAGCTTGCTGCAAAGTGACTGCTTGATAGTGTACGTGTGTTCTTAAAAAATAAAGCTACCATTGTCATTTTGAAATACTGTTCTTGATGTGAAAAAGTTTGGATTGGAAATTCATTCATATTATGAATTTCAGCATTACATAAGTCAAAGAATATCTCTATAAATTTAATTTTTTTCTGTAATTATACAAAGAAAATATGGTAATTTTTTTTATGATGTAGAAAAGGTTGGGAAGCAGCATTCTAGTCAAATCTACTTGTTTTATATAAAGAAAACTGCAATTTAGTTAGGTAGGCTCAGGAATTTGTCCATTATCCTATAGTTGTCTATTATCCTATGGTTGGTGTGGGGCTGGATTTGAAAATTGAGGATCTTGACACTCAGCTTTCACTGCCTCACACTGACCCCTCAAATGTGATGGAATATTGGAGGAAGGCATTGATGATAATTGAAAGATGAAAATATAGAACCTTGGAGGAATTATTAAAAGAAAGAACTACACATAAATAGCTTAGAAATCTTTGAGGACCTACTATATCTAATGGTATTTAGAATCTTTTTGTAGAATATAATAAATTATGGTAGGATTTTTGTGATGATTTTAGCTATATCTTTTAAGAAATGGATAATAAATAAAAGTTCGACTATAGCAGTTTAGGAATATAGGAATTTAGGATAGATATAAACAAAAATTGATACTAAAATTATATGTATATAGTTTCCCCCCAAAAGGGGGGAGGGAATCTATGAGGCCTTTCAGGTCTCTGGTGTTATAATTAAATTTTCTCTTGCTTTTGGTTGGATTAAAATTTACTAATTAAAAATAATCTAAGTGAAAGTAGGTTGGGTTTAAGTAGGTTTCAGAGGATGTTGCCATTAGCCCTAAATGTTTCAAAGAAATACTTAGAAACTTACAAAGTGAGAAATGTACTGTGGTATGAGATATATTACTTTGGTACCTGGCTACCATTTTAACACCATACTGGTACTAAAAGAAGAAATTATGGGATGTAAGGAACAGTGGACTTTGGATAAAATTGTTTTAACTTGTAATTTCCATGTAAATAGAGATAAGGCAGGAGTGGGTATCTTAGGCAGTTAAGAAGAACTCCACTGTCCAAAAATGATGTGGATGCATTTTGGAGACCAAAACAAATTATAAGTGAAATTAAGACCCTCTGTTTAACCTTTCGTGTTTTTTGTTTTGTTTTTGTTTTTTGTGGTTTTTTTTGTCATTCCTTTTAAGCTTTTCAAATGATCTATATTTTTTCCAGTTCTCTGTAGGTTTTTTTAATTTTTTAATGAAAAATATTTTGTTGCTTAATTAGTAGTATTGGTAAACTGGACTGTTTTCTGGAGCAGAAATTGAATATATGCCTAACAAAGTAAATTCTGAGAAAAATGGGTAGTAATTGTCAATGGAAAATTTAGACACCCATCTTTTTTTGGCCAATTTAATTTTGTTTTTAGATGATAGTTTTCAGAAATACTAAGAATTTGAGGTCTATTTACTTGGGAACAGTTACTTGATTTTCTTTGGGTTTAGAAAGCATTTACTATATTAAACTATTCAAATAATAAAAGAAAGTGTGTTACCTCAAAAATGCCTTGTGTAATATATAACAGTTCACAGGTTTTCTGTTTTCTTCTATTTACTACAATTACCAAGGAAATAAAACAAAAATTAAAAGAAATACCTTATTTTGCATATATATTTACACTTAAAAGTAATATATATTAAATTAGGTTTTGTTTGAGATGGTGAAATGAAAGACTTTGTAAATAAGAATACATGTTGATATGTGAAAGAATGTAAAGTTAAAACATGTTGGCATACTCCTAGTTTCTCAGAACAAGAAAATGACTAATCTAAATTTCATTTCAGAATAAAAACCAAGACAAGCCACATAAAAGCAACCTAAAAATTAAACTGTCATCATATTATTTGTTTTAAAACTATGGAATAATATATCTGAGGAAGATTTCTCTCAAAATTGTTTTTCTCAATTTCAAGTAAGTAATTTATTTTGGTTAATATATTGGGGGTGAGGGGTGGTGGGGGTGAGCCTTGGTATTGAAGTTGGTAAATCCTGCTCATCCTTAAAGTAACAACTCAAATATCAACCTCTTTAAAGCCTCTGCAACTCCTTTGCCCACTCTCAAAAGATTATCTCCTTGGTTTTCTAAGTCCTGTCTCCTTCCATATTCATGGTAAAAGACTTCTTACACTGAGTATTGTGTTCATCTTGTAAGAATAGTCACCTGGCGCTACCCTCATGTGCTCCCTCCGCCATACCCCTCAACCCCACTGCTTTCTGCTGCTGAGAGACCCTGAACAAGTTATTTTACTTTTATGAGCCTTAATTTCCTCCTCTGTAAAATGAGTTTTAATAATTTCAACCACACAAGATTATTATTGAATAAGATAACCAGCAAATGTCTGGCATGTAGAGTAACGTAAGTGTTACCTTCTTTACCCTTCTATTTCCAGAATCCTGCCACATTACGTACTCAGGTGTACTAAGCACTCTTTAAAATGTATGAATCGAATTAAAATGAAAAATGGAATTTTTATAGCATTTATTTATTCCTCACAGGACAGACTAAAGCACCTGCACATTGTGGTGTAAGGCTTTTTTACAGTTGGTCAGTGACTCATATGTTTATAGGCTAGGCGATTGCCTGTTTAAAATGCTTTTTAAAAATTTGGCTGTTTTATTTTTTATAAGTACCCCATCCAGGCCTGATTTTTTTTAAATTGTTGATATGTGTTTATATAGACAGAAAAATGTCTGTGCCTGATCTTGCCTTGACAAATGGGCAGTGTTAAGCCATTGATCAAGGAGTAACGTCAGTTTTCCAATGCTATAGATTAGATTAAGTACATTTCGTCTGAAAAGAGCATTATTTTCCAAAGCCTTATTTTCAGTAGTGCCTTCTTTTTTAAAAATGACAATAGAACATGTTGAAAGTTATATATGCTAGATGTCACAGTAAAGGTGACATGTCAATAGGATTTATTACTCTTTTTTGTTTTTGCCTTTTATGAATTTGTAACACACACGAAAATTGAGGCCTTTGGTTTTTAAACCTACTTAGGATTGTGGGATGTGACCAAAGGATTTATTATTGACCAGAGCTTCAACTCTCTTCACCATATATTTTCTACATTCATTCCCAGATTTTTTGTTTTTTAATAGCATTGTCTATTAATTTTTTAATGAAATCATTCAAAAGGTATCCAAATTATGTCTCACACCTTAGTTGATAATGCTTAGTGTTTTTAAAATAGAAGCTATGTTAGTTAAAAGACCTTAATTTTATATCATTTTACTCACAGAGGTGGTAGACCATTTATTAAGGACTGTGTGCTGTGTTCTAAGTGATTTAATCTTTACAAGAGCTCTATAATATAGCTACTGTTACCCCCATTTTACAGTTGAGGAAATGAGGCATGTATAGGTTAATTAACTTTCTCTAAAGTTATACGTGATATTTACCTCATAGCATGTGAAGATTAAATGAAAAAACGTGTGTTAGGCCATTACCTGCCTAAATAGAGGAATCAGAGAAGTAAAATCTGAGATGAATGTCTCCTAACACTTCCAGCATTTGATAATAGCCATTACTGAGACATGAGAGTGACCATGAATATATTCTTATTCACAATTTTTTTATGATAATATACCCTGATACTCTGTATTGACCCATTTTTTTCTGATCAATATTAATGTCTCCTCCCAAATTCATGTTCCCATTTGGATGGAATTATTTTGTGTATATGTGTTTATGAGGTGATAATAGGACTTTAATATCAGTCTGATATAAAATATTTTTGTAAGTTTAGTGTAATTAAACAAGTATTATGTGAATATATTTCTCATTATGAAATTTAAAAAACAGAACAGGTAAAGGAAAAATTTTCTTTGATCAACAGTCCTATTTTCCTCCCGCTTCTATCACCTTTTGCTTATATAAAAAACCTCCCTAAAACTTAAGGCTATAAAACAATAGCCATTGCTAGCATACAGTTCTGAGCTGGACTCAGTTAAGCAATTCTGCTACTGCGTATGTCTGGGCTTGCTCATGTGGCTGCAGTCAGTGGGTGGATCAGCTGGGAGCTCATTGGTCTAGGATTGCATTACTCTTATGTCTGGAAATCGGTGCTTGTTATTGGCTGGGGTGCTGGTGGGCCATGTGTCTCCAATAGGCTAGCTATGGCAGTAGTGGGGTTTACAGGAGCAACTAGTAAAGGCAAGCCCCATATATTTTCTGTTGTCCTGTTGGCCAAAGCAAATCACTTGGCCAAGTCTAGAGTTGGTGTGGGAGGAGTTTCCTTAAGGGCGTGTGGAATATAACCTGTGCACATCCTCCTGTTTAGTACCTTAAATCATCTCTAGATAATACCTAATATAATATAAATGCTATATAAATAATTGTGATACTGTATTTAGGGAATAATAACAAAGGGAGAATCTGTAAATACATGTTAAATACAGGTGCAACTATTCATTTTTTGCCAATACTGCAAGAATCTCTTATATAACTGCTGCTGACTGATTCATTTTTCAGGAAGCATTTGCCAGTGTGACATTGCCCCTTTTTTGAATAAGTAGTATTTAGGTAAGCAACTTATTCATCTATTCAGATGAATTTAGTTAATTCCTTTTTCTTGTTTTTATTCCATTCCCATCATCCTTTAGCATCATTCCTGATCCCATTGACTCAAAAAATATTTACTTGAGCCCCCACTAAGTGCATAGTAAGGTATCATGAGGTGAGTAGCAGATGAGGCAAGACCACTGGGTTAATCATGCAAGTTGCTTGAAGTTGCTTGTCTGCTACATTATATGAACAGAATTCTGTAAAAGAAAATTGTAACACTTTTTTGAAAATGACTAACAGCCTACATCAGGCTGAATATATCTTATGTGCTGTATTTTTTAAACATCTTACAAGGATTTCTTCAAATGAGAAAAACTGTTAATACAGAGGTTGTTTTGATCTGTACTCCCACCAGCAATATGAGATTTTTTCCATGTCCTCACTAAGATTATGTTCTCAAATATTTTAATGGTTGCCAATCTAACAGATAAAAACATGGATCTCAGTATAGTTTTAATTAAAATTTTTTTATTATGAGTGAGATTGTTTTTCCGTATGCTTTAGAGGTGTTTATAGTATTTGTACTATTTGTTTATCTTTTACACATTTCCCTGTTGAGAATCTTAGTCTTTTGCTTATTGATTCCAAGGAGCTCTTCATATATTAGGAAAATTAGTCTCTCTGTGAATTGAGTTCCAAATATTTTCCTCAGTTTGTTCTTATGGTGAATACTTTTCATTTAAATAGTGTTTTTTCATTTTGTAAAGAATTTTTAACTCTTGAATGAGATTTTTAACTCTTAAATGAGACTTTTAAATGACATTTCAATAAAGTTAGTTTTAAATATTAGGCAAAAGAGAGGAAGGAAAAGATCTTGGTATTAGCACATCTTATTGAGAGAACTCACCTTTGAAAGCTCTGACTTGGAAGGAAAAATTTCAAAAGGATCCTCTCTTTGATTTATTTTTCCTCTTGTAGGTTTGGTTCTATCATGAGACCACTCCTTTTGACAGGTCAGTTCAAGTAGTATCATCCTTTGGAAGGCTGTTTTTAGATGATGAGATTGTATAGCATAGGTAGAAAATACTTTATATCACTTGGAATAAATTGTTAATAATGTTACTTTGAGTTTTATCTATTAGTGTGTGTGTGATATGTACAAAACATATATATATATAGTGGTTGTGGTTCAAGCAGTGCTTTACTGTGTGTAAAGTCATCCCTCTGTGTCTGTGGGGATTCGTTGCAGGACCCCCTGAAGATACCAGGATCCACAGATGCTCAGAGTTCCTTAGGTAAAATGGTGTGGTATTTGCATATAACCTAAGCACATCCTCTTGTATAGTACCTTAACTCATCTCTAGATTAATTATAATACCTAACATAATGTAAATGCTATGTAAATAGTTGTGAATACTGTATTGTTTAGAGAATAATAAAAAGGAAAATCTGTACATGTTTAGTACAGAAGCAACTATGCATATTTTTAAAGAATATTTTTGATCCACAGTTGGTTTAATCCACAGATACAGAACCCATGGATATGGAGGGCTTGCTGTATAGTCCTTTATCTATTCTGGCACAAGGATATGTTAGGGTGGCTAGATTAGGCTAGCCAGTGGACCACATAAAAGACAGACAAACAAAACTTAGACTTTTTTGAGAAAACAGTAATGCTACCTACTACCAAAATAATATCCTAGATTTTTTTTTATAAGATTGTGGGAGAGCTATGAAGAGGTGGCAGAGGTATCTGTGAACCTCCTCTGCAGCACCTGACATGAAATACTTTTTCCCCCTTGACTTCTGTATAAAAAGGGGTTAGAAAACTGCAAAGCTGGACAGATTAGCATATTTTGAGTAAATTAATATACTTTTAAACATTTTAAAAATTGCCAACCCCTTTTGTTTTCCATTCATTTCTTTGAGATAATCTTACTCCAACGCTCTAGCTAGAATGTGCAGTGGTGTCATCATAGTTCACTGCAACCTCAAACTCCTGGGTTCTGGCAATCCTCCTGCCTCAGCCTCCTGAGTGGCTGGGACTAGGTACACGCCACCATGCCTGGCTAATTTTTCTATTTTTTTGTAAAGATGGGTGTGACTTTTACTCAGGCTGATCTCGAATTTCTGACCTCAAGTGATTTTCCCACCTAGGCCTCCCAGAGTGCTAGGATTACAGGTGTGAGCCACCATACCCATCCCCTTTCTTTATATGTCATTTTACCCAGCAGCATCAAAAAAACCCAAATAGGAACCCTAAAGTGATTTCTTGTGAAGCATAGTAGAAAGCCAGTTTTTGCTATGCTTTTTACAGACTTTTTCAAAGTTACTGAGATATTCTTTAGGGTCTGTTTCATCATTAATGTCTTTACAAACGGTTCATTGAAAATTAAAAAGAAGTTTCC